TTTTTTTAACTTCTGGGTTCCTCTAGCTCTTTTTTCCTCTTGCAGTTTATTTGTTGAAGAAACCAGGATGTTTGCCCTGAACAGTTTTTCAGAGTCTGAATTTTGCTGACTGAGTTTCTGTGGTGTCATTTAATATGTTCCTCTCTCCTCTATATTTCCTGTAAATTGGACATCCCTTTACTTTCAAGCTGTGTGATTATGTTATAGTTATGTCCAGCATATAGCCAGATTTCATTCCTTTAAATAATTAGATGATCTGTTTTTTTAACCGTCAAGCATAATCAGTGCATATTTATTGTGTTCACTGATATATTTGTACTTATTTCTGATACCTTATTTTGTGCTTCCTGTATCATGGTTTTTTCTTTACTGTTTGTCCTTCTTTTATTGGATTGAGTTTTCTATATTCTCTCCTCTTCCTCTATTGGTTCAGATATTATATATTTGATTTTTAACCTTTTAGTGGCTATTCTTGAATTTTCAACATTCATAGTTGAGTTAAAATTGAAGGTGAAGCTTGGTGTGGTGGTGCGCACCTGTAGTCCCAGCTACTTGGGAGGCTGAGGCAGGAGGATCACTTGAGCCCAGGAGTTCAAGGTTACAGTGAGCTGTTGTGCCACTGCACTCTAGCCTGGGGGCATAATGAGACCTTGTCTTTAAAAGTAAATTTAAGGTGAATATATCTACCGCCGCAAAAATAGGAGGACTTTTGGCACTAATTTTCTCCCTCCATCTCTCTAATATTATTTTCTAATAATTTAGGTTTATCTTGTTTTTAACCCTTCTATTTAGTCTCCCTTGTTTTTTGTTTTTTTAAAGTCAATGCTTATTAAGGTGAATATATCTATCGCCGCAAAAATAGAAGGACTTTTGGCACTAATTTTCTCCCTCCATCTCTCTAATATTATTTTCTAATAATTTAGGTTTATCCTGTTTTTAACCCTTCTATTTAGTCTCCCTTGTTTTTTGTTTTTTTAAAGTCAATGCTTATTTAGGTTTATCGACGTGTTCATCAGTTTCTTTACCCACAATTGCTTCTTTTTAAAATTTTTAATTTAAATAATGTAAATATGTATGCAACAAATGTGTAAAACCAAAACAGAAGTTTCATGCAATAGCACGTACTCCTACAGTTGCTTGCTGGCTTGCTTGCTTTTTTTTTTTTTTTTCTGAGATAGGGTCTCACTCTGTTGCTTAGGCTGGAGTGTAGTGGAGTCATCATAGCTCATTACAACCTCAAATTACTGGGCTCAAGCAGTCCTCCTGCCTCAGCCTCCCAAGCAGATGGGACTACAGGCATGCGCCACCGCACCCAGCTAATTTTTTTATTTTTTGTAGGAGGGGTGGTCTCAGTCTTGCTCAGCTGGTCTTGAAATCCTGGCCTCAAGCAGTCCTCCAACCTCAGCCTCCTAATGTTCTAGGATTATAGGCATGAGCCACCACACCTGGCCCTTTAAGGATTCGGTTTCCTGCTTTCTTCCTTTATTATTTCTTTTCTCTAAAGCCTGTGAGTGGTAACTTCTCCCAGTCTTTGAAAATAGCTTTATAGTAAGTTTTTCAAATTTTACTATAATTTTTGACTGATAGCTTATAGCTAAGTACAGACTTTTAGGATGATTATTATTTTCTTTCAGCATTTTAAAGATATTATTCCATTATCTACTGACATGCCCAGCTGTTGAGTGTACACTACCTATGTGCTATCAGTATAATTGCTGTTCTTTTATCTCTGGTTGCTTAAAAGAATTTCTCTTTTTAATTTATTTTGCTTTCTTGATACAGTGTATCTAGGTGTGTCTTTTTTTAATTTATTTTCTGTTGGAGTACGAATGATTCTTCAGTTTGAAGATTTAACTTTGGGAATTTTTCATCCATAATCTTTTGGAGCCTTGCTTCCTCCCCATTCTTTCTTTTTGCACTTCTAAAACATCCAGTAGAGGTATGTTGAGGTATGTTCTCAGTCTATTCCCTGTCTCTTTTAACCACTCCTTCATAATTTCCACCTCTTTATTTCTCTTTGGTGTACTCAGAGTAATTTCCTCAGATCTGTCTTCTAGTTTGCTAATTCTCTCTTCTGCTGTATCATCTTTGCTGTTTCACCTGTTTCACCTATTCATGATGATTTTAATTTTGGTGACATTATAATTTTAATTTTTTAATTAATTTTTTCGATATTTTTAATATCTAAAAGTTATATTTATTTCTTTTTCAAATCTATTCTTTGGATGCCTTGTCCTGTTCTTTTATTGTGGTTTCTATGCTTTATCTATTTAATAATTTTAATCATGTTTTATAACTAACCCTTTCAGATTCTTTTATTTTGTGTGTGCATATTCTCAATTGTTGAATCTGCATACTGACTCTCCTTTAGATTTGGTTGTTCCTTTGTGTAATTTTATAATGTTTTTTAATCTTGGGCCTTAGTGGAGGTTCTTCTAGGTTGTATATATTTGGAGTGGTTTTGCTTTTGCTTCCTGCTGTCATTAAAGTAGAAAAAAATTTGGAAGACGAGTTTTAATATAAATTTCTTTGCTTGGAGTTGCTGTACTACACAGATAGTATAAATACAGACCCTACACCTGCTTGTGGCAAGCCAGGGGTTTTGAATTCTCAAAGTTGACTTTTATTATTTTCTCATCTATCGTCCAGGCGAAGAGAAAACTTCTTTGCTGTTTCTCTATGGCAGGGATTTTCTTATTCCCATTTTGTGGACAGGGCTGTCCTTTAATGCTCTAGGCCATATGAAGGTAGCTCAGTTTCCCTCGCTGCAATCTGCAGAAACCACATTTCCCCTATAGACTATTATAGCATCATTGCCCACTTACTGCTCCAGCTTTGAGTTCTTTTTTCTTTTCCGGCAGCAGCAGATTTCTCTGTTTAGAGGGCCTGGTTGTGTTTTAAACTTTTTTTGGTAATTTAGCATTTCTAGGTTTTTATGGCAGGGCATGGGCCTGTGCATGTATTTCAATCTGCCACGTTTAATAAAGTTGATAGTAATTCATTTTTACCATGAGTGAGTTTTAATTTTAAATCTGATGCTAATTCATGTGCACTGGAAAGCTATTAATATGTTGCAAACTTCTAATATCGTGTTGGCATGTGTAAATGTTAGCAATTGTTATATCTTTTCCATGTGATTTTTTTCTCTACCATTTTCTTTTAATTATATACTCTTTGATTAGTACATTTTTTGACTCTTATGGATGAGGAAGATCAAAGTAACAAGGAGGAGACTTCAGAAGTTGAATTTTCAGTAACAGAACATCATTCTAGTCAGAAAACCTGTGTGTTTCCTACTGCCAGTTCAGCTGTCAGCCTTTCCAGTGACCAAAATACTACTACTCCTGGTATTGTTCTTCACTTTCTTCATTTACACATACTCTAATTTTCCATTATAATGTTACTGAACATTATTTACTGGGAATATAGTTATGAAAGGTTTGTGAAGTCATTTTGTAATATTTATTTCGGGGGAAGGAAAGGTAAAACTTGTGCCATTCACATGAACTGTGCCATTGTCACCTTTATAAGATATACTTACTGCAGCCGGGTATTGTATCCTGTGTAACTTACTAAATTTATAGCAACTGGAAGTACTATGATATTTGATTTTTACAAAAATTGAGAAATTCAAACTTTTCCAATTACAAGAACTTTGAATTTTAATTGGAAGACAAAATAATGGGTATTATTTATTAAGCCTCTACCATATGCCAGACATCACTATTTTACATGCATGAACCCTGGTTTAAGCCTGACCTCTGAGGTAGATATTATTATATCCCCATTTTACAGTTGAGTATATTGAGACTTAGAAAGGCTTAGTGCCACTTTTTGTTCCATTTCATTTGCAGGTAGCAATTAAACTGCTCTTCTTTAGTCCTAACAAATACATTTTGTCATATGAATAATAGGGCATAGGGAATATATCAGTTCAATGACTGGCAGTGGCTTGGAAATATATATATTTTTTAGCTCTCAGGTATTGATGATTAATAAAAATGACTTTATTGAGTATTTACAATATATTTTATTACCATTATTAAAGCAACATAAGCAGTAAAAAAGTGCTATTTTAAAATGGCATTGCTGTTATTTAAATAAAAGAAAAGCTTTAAGAAGCTGACTTTAAATCTTGCAATTATTTTCTCTTGTTCTTTCTAGATTCCATATTATAGTCATCAACATATGGGATAATCACTTCCACTTAACAAAGTTGCAAAGATCAAGTATCATATATAAAGCATCTAGCTGAGGATGTTTGATTGCTGTAGCTTCTTGGTCACTGGTAGCTTTCCTCTTTCCTCCTCTGGGGGAGGATTGACAAATGAAGTTAAACAGAACTTGGGAGTCTAGGTCGTAGAGGGTTCCAGTTGCATCTGAGAAGCTTAGACTCTATTTCCTACTTGGGAATCATTAGAGAATTCTGAGGAGAGAGATAAAATGAGGAGGTTTTGAGGAAGACTAGAATGGAGGTATAGGCCAGTTAGTAAGCTACTGAATTAATCTGACCTGTGAAATAATGAGAGTCTGAGTAGTGTTGTGGAAAAGGAAAAGAAGAAAGAGACCTTCTGAATAAGTAACCAGTGGTACTCAGTGATTAAGTAGATAAAAGGAGAAGAGCGAGAAAATGAATGGCAGTTTAGTGTTTCCAGAGTATAGGAGCAAGGATATAACTTGGGCCAGGCACGTGGCTCATGCCTGGAGTCCCAGCACTCTTAGGAGGCTGAGGTGGGAGGATCGCTTGAGCCCCCAGAAGTTTGAGGCTGCAGTAAGCTATGATTGCGCCCCTGCACTCCAGCCTAGGGCAACAAAGCAAGATCCTGTCTCTCCAAAAAAAAAAAATACTTTTACTTCACGGTCACACATGCCTGTAATCTTAGCTACTCTGGATGATGAGGCAGGAGGATTGCTTGAGACAAGATATTTCCAAACTCATAAATACAATCTTATCTGAATTTTAAGATATTTGGATTCC